AGGTAGATCTCGAAGATCTGTCGTATCGACTTCTCGATTGACTGCGAGAGTCTGGGGATCTCCTAGATGTTGAACGAGATCGGTCGTATTGGCGTCGGTCGTCACGTCCATGTCGCGAGTCGTTTGCGTAGCGGAACCCCCCGCGTTGTGAAGAACGTTGGCTTCCTGATCCGCGGGATGGTGATCGGCCACGACTATCCTGACTGGAGGTCCGTGGTCGACTCGGGCTTCGCTCGGGAGTCTTCGCACCAGGTGTAAGATGAGCGTATTTGCATTTGCCGCCCTTGGGGCACTTGTTCTGTGCGAAGTCTTTACACTGTGCAACGTGTGGAAAGTTGCACTTGTCGCCTCTGGTGCATGTGTTGCGCTTGGCGAACTCGAAGCAAAATGGTTTCGATGCTGGCTTCTTGTGATTCGCAGGAGTTGACACGCTGCGGCGGGAGTTGCCACCAGCTGTCGATGCTCTGGAAGATTTGTTGTTCTTCCAATCCCTGGAATCTGTATGCAAAGCCTTGCACCGTTCACCATTGCGACAATTGCCTTTCTTCCAGGCAGCGCACACATTGACTTGAGAACGTGTCTCATGTTCGTACCGTAACTTATTCTGATTATTCTCCAATTGTTTGAGCTCCAGTACGTCCAGGACGCGCTGTCGGAGCCAATCATAGGTACGATTCGGGTCGCTGATCTTCATGCGCTGGTACTCGTACATGTCTTGTTTCATCCAGGCATGTCTCCGAATCTGTGTACGAAACAGAGATTCCAAGATCTTTGGATCGGGTGCTTCCCGGCACTCCAATAGTAAAGCGTCCCAGTCAGTAATAAAACGTTGCAAATCTGCATCTCTCATCCTCAGTTCTTTAAGGCGCTCACAGTCGTGCAGGTCGTCATCAACCTCTGTCACTTTGTAGGACTGTAGGATGTGCTAGTATATCTGGCGTCCTTTGAGCATGCGTCCTGATTTGTGCTCTCTGGTTTCGATGAGCCTGATTTGGTAGCGCAAGTCTGAGGATAAGATGTCGCTCACAGCGGTAGCGAGTTTGCAATCGATGCTCTCAAAATCTCCACTGTCTTGTAAGTCCTCGAAGGTACACTCGGGCTGTTCAGCCACGCATAGGAAGGCATATGCTTTGGATGGTCGCCCTGAGGCAGCGCCAAAGTTCTTCCGTACCTTTTGCTGCCACTCGAGCAGCTGTGTAATCTTAGGCAAGACAGGGACTCAGACGGTGTCTGACTCCTTGATAGGAGTAGTAGTATTGACCGAAACCGCAGACAATGGTTGTGAGGGTATCGGTACACCGTCATTAGTCGGTTCTGTGCGCACAGGAGACACATGGCGTGTCTGTGCAGAAGCTGCCGCGGAGGCTGCTCCTGGTGACGTACGTCGTTGTTGTCCTGCAGAAGCTTGTGGTGCTTCGGCGGACGCTGCCGTCGGCCTGCGCAGGTCGGTTGCAGGTCGAAGGTGGAGACTGGTGTCGTTGGTGTGGTCGATCAGCTGATTCGTCCAGCTCGTCATGTCTTCGTGTATTTGGGCCACCTTTTGGCGTGTGTACTCATCAGTATCCCGAGAACGTTGTGAGTACCGATCAAGTCGTTGCTCGCAGGCTCGGAGACGGGCGCCTTGTGCCTCCATCTCGCTTTCCAGACGTGCGAGGTGCCCCTCAACACGTACCTTCTCAGTATCTCTCTCACGAATAACCTGGGATAGCTCCAACTGCGTGTGGTCCGCCGCCTTCTCAACATCCTGCAACCTGTCAGTGAGGCGGGCGAAATCGTAAACCGCGGGAGGAGAATCCAGCTGATCAGTCTGGGCTCGTCCGACACGCAACTCTGCCAGGGCGTCCTATACACCAGGAAAACGCTGCTCGATTTCAGAGATCCGGTTAGCGAGTGGCTGCACGACAGCGTTGGTCGCATCAAGCTGTTGAGTGATGACTCTCTCAGTACGCTGCAACATGTCGGTCAGGTTCGACGAGTTGGTGTGCGCTTCGTTGCGAAGCGTCGCCGTAGTGTGGTCTATGTGGGATCGAAGATCATTGATCTGAGACTGAACGTCGCCACGGTCGGTGGCCTCGGTTGGTGTTGGTCGATTGCGGAGCTGGTCGTGGATCTCATCGTGTAGGATCCTGACTGCTGAAACGCCTGTGTCGCGTACGAGCACAAGCTATTGCTCCATCTGCGCTAGGTAGTTGCGCAGGTTCTCGACCATCGCCGTTCGTTCACCTGAGTGTGACACCTCACGATCAACCTGGTACTGCAGCTCGCCTATGATGCGTCGATCTTCGGCAATCCTGGAATCGATGATCCCTAAGGCGCCGTCAAGATCTTGGCGCATGGCTGCAGCATTGGCAGCGTTCGTCTGAACGCTCTGCAGTAGTCCAGAGTATTGCCTGGACACGAAGGTTTCAACCTGGTCTCTGAGCTCAGCTATTTCGCCTGCGGCGGACGTCTCCGCCAGCTGGTCGTCTGAGATGGAGAGGTGGGGAGCATAGGCTTCCCTCTGCCCCCTCTCGCAAGGAGTGCTTGGCCTCTGAGAGGCTGTACGCGGGCTCGACCTACTCTCGCCGCATGGGCCTGGGGCCCCACGACGGCTGCGCGCGGACGAGCTGCGACTAGGACCGTGTGTGTGTGGTGTCTCATCCGATGATACCTTGGGATACTGCGTCTGCGGCTGTGCCGCCACTGGTCTACTGAGTTCCTCGAAGGTGGCTACGTGCTCCGCAACAGGAACGGTCGCAGGGCTGGGGGTACCAGCACCTGAGGTCCATCGGCGGTTAGCGCGAAAGCGCCCTGGAGTATCAGGACCAGTGAGGCTTTCGCCTGACGCAGTTGGGATTGCTCCCGACTGAGGAGGAGATGGAGGATCGAAGGTAGGCGTGTGAAACTCCTTCCTTCCTGTTCCTACTCCTTCTCCTGCCCCCCCGCGGGCGGCGCTGCGGTGAAGTTCAGCAGCTAGACGCGCCTCGGGTCCGTCGGAGCTGGGGGGGGTACCTGGGACACCAACACAGTCCGCACTAAGGCTCTCCAACTCATCACCGAGCCGTCGCGCCGTCGGAGAGCTCGGACGCGAGGCCCCGATGGACCCCTTTTACGGCGCATGCGCCGCTTGGGTTCCATCGAGGCCGCGTGCGAGGTCGCGACGCGGGGTCCGATGAACGGTGAGCTTTAAAGGGCTGATAACCTGTGTATGGGGTTGAAGTACAAGGGTACAGAACCCCTGATCCGCTGGTAGAGGGAAGGAGGGATAGATGGATGTCTTTCCCTCCTGCACGATCAAAAGTCTGATCGATCTGCCCCAATACCTGAGCCAAACGGCCAGGCGCAGGAGAGGTGAGGATAAGGAGTATTATATGAGGGTATTACACGGGTTCTATCCACAAGGACTCCCGATTTCGGCGCTCACGACAATGCTCAAGCATCCGATCCAAGCTGCGCAAGCATTGCAGCCAACACCCACCTCGGGGGCCACCCTCGCTCGGTGTGGGCCGACCGCCGGCACTGGAGATGGTGCCGACCTCTGGGCCCCCGAGGGGGAAACGGGAGAAGCAGGGTCACGAGTTTTGCCCGGCTTGCTCGCGAGCTGCGAGCTGCACAGGGGGCAGGGCGCTGATCACGCCCCCCTCCAAAGGAGGAGCACCCCAAGCCCTGGCCCGTGGCGTCGGGCTACGGGAAGGCCAAGTCACGACGCCGAGGGGGATGAAGGAGGGGCCCTGGGACACACAAAGAAGTAGACACAAATAACAGGATCCTCAATGTTTTCCTATACTTTCTGGGTTTTCGTCGTCTTCACCCACTGGGTTTTCGTCTTCACCCACACTTCCCATAGTTTCCTGAATCTTCTGGGGAATCGACGATGATTTGTGTTTGTGTGTTTCTCCCCTCCTGAGAGGATGAGGAACGAGACCACGACCAGCCAATTGTTGTTGAGTGCTTTCTCTCCCTCCTGTTGTGTTTTTCCTTCACGACCAGTCCGGCGCCCCCACGGGTCTGCCTGGCTTCTCCGCCCAAGGGTACCACTCCGCCATAAACCGGGAGGACTGCTGGCCGTAAACAACAGCTCTGGGCTGCACAGTCGGCACTGTTGTGCAGGGCCAGCCGCTTCGCGCAACTCTGCACGAGGCCGAGGAGGATGAGGAATTACAGGAATTACAGCCTTCGCGTAGCGAAATTACTAAAAACATTAAAACCCCACACTGCCAAGGCATATGCAGTGTGCTGGGAGAGACCTAGTGCACCTCGGCCGCTCCAAACCTCAAACGGCCTAGGAGGGGAGGGGACGACTCAGAGGTGCACGTACACGTCCAACGCCTCCAGGACCGGAGCTCTCCGACGTGCTTCCTTCGGGACGCCTCCCTCGCCCTGGGCCGCTCCGTTCGGGCCGCGGGGCCCCGGGGCGGCTCGGCGGTGCCCGCCGCGACCTCGCCGGTGCTGCTCACGGCGCCGTCGGGTGTTGCCAGAAGTGCCCCTAGCCCAAGGTTTAGGTCGGGCCCGTCCCCCTACAGGGGGACTGGAAATACCCAGAAGATATCCAAACAAATCTCCCAAAATGGTCCAAACCATCGTCCGCTGACTATTTTTACTCATTTTTGAACACTCCTCCTATAGAGGGACGGGCCCGACTTACCCCAAGGTGCCCCAGGATTCTCGGGGTGGCCCAGGCGGCCTGCAGAGCATCCCTCACGAGGCCCGGGAGGGCTCCAGAGTCCCCAAAAGGGCGCGAGAAGCTGGGGGGCACCTTGGGCCAGGGGCACTTCTAGCAACACCCGACCCAAACATCCGACGTCTCGATTTTGATCGAGACACGGGCTCCCGACCTCCCGACCACTTTCCCTGGACCGGTTTTTCGTCCCGAACCGTTTCTTGACGGCCCCGAGGCCCGGCGCGGGCCCCGAGAGGCCGCAAACGACGAAACACCTCCGTCTCGACTCCTTCGAGACGCCCGATGTCTGGGGACGCCGGGACGTCGGGGGGTGGGGGGCGCCGGACGAAAAGGCGCCGTCCCGTCCGAGCATGCTGATGCTCTTCCCGTCCCGGAAAACCTCGAAGGCGCCCTCCTGGCGGGCGGGGGCGGGCGGCGGCCACAGGCCTGCCTCTGCCACGCGGCGGCGGGCAGGGGCCCTCCGGCCCGGGAGGGGAGCGGGCCGTGGCCACGGAGCCGCTTCTGCCAGCGGCGGCGGCCGCGGCCCCTCGCGGTGAAAGGCCCGGGCTGCGAAGCGCGCGAACCGCGCCCGTGCAGGATGAGGCGAGGGAGAGAGAGCGGAGAGGCGGCAACGGAGCAGGCAGCGCTCCAGAACGACCGATGGCAGCGCCCAGGCCTCCGACGTCGTGGCTTCTCTTCACGGCGTGGGCCCCCAGAGCTCCTGGCCTCATCCCCCGGCCTTGCCTTGCGCCGCGGGGCTCGAACGCGGCCACCAGAAGCCGAAACCGAAGGGAAGAGGCGGTGTGAGATGTCTTCGCGCCGCCAGAGGTATTGCTAGCGGAGTGCGCGTAAGATGGCGGAGCAATCAACGGACGAAGGGGCCAAAGGTGAGAGCAGAAAAGAAAACGGGGAAGACACGAGGCCCCAGTCCGCTTTCCCCCGGACTCCCTCGTTTATTTCTTCCTTCCCTCCTCTCCTAAGACACTAGGCCCCGGTCCGCATTCACCCGGACTCCCTCGAATATTTCTTCCTTACCTCCTCGCCTCCTCATCCTCATTCCCTCTCCTTCTCCCACTACACCTACCCATCCCTCCCCTCCCTCCCTTCTCCTCAGCATAAATGATCCTCCTCCTCCTCCTCCTCCTCCTCCTCCTCCTCCTCCTCCTCCTCCTCTTCCTCCTAGTGCTCCTCCCCCTCCTCATCATTATCAGCCATCAGTCATCATCCATCATCATCATCATCATCATCATCATCATCATCATCAACATCATCATCATCATCATCATCGTCGTCGTCGTCATCATCATCATCATCATCATCATCATCATCATCATCATCATCATCATCATCATCATCATCGTCATCATCATCATCATCATCATCATCATCATCATCAGCAGCAGCATCATCATCATCACTGCCATCATCGCCATCACCATCATCATTGTCATCAGCAGCAGCATCATCACCATCATCATCCGCAGCCTCATCATCATCAACGTAATCAGCATCACCATCAGCATCATCAGCAGCAGCATCATTAACATCATCATCAACATGGTCATCATCACCATCACCATCATCATCAGCATCATCATTATCATATCCATATTCGTCTTCATCGTCGCCGTTGTCATCATCGTCATAAGAATCACCACTGCCACCACCACCACCACCACCACCATCATCATCATCATCATCATCACCATCGTCATCATCATCCTACCTATCATCAGCACCATCACAATCATCGTAAGCATGAGCATGATCATCATCGTCGTCATGATTGTCATCGTCATCGCCATCGTCACCAGCATCGTCAGCACCATCGTCTGCACAATCAACCTCATTATCACCAGTATCATCATTAGCAGCAGCATCCTCATCATAGTCAGCAGCAGACCGTCATCAGCATCATCTTCACTATCATCGACATCATCATCACCATCATCATTAACAGCAGCAGCATCATCATCATCGTCAGTACCATCATCATCATCGTCGCCGTTGTCATCGTCATCATCATTTGCATCATCAGCAGCACCATCAGCATCATCAACAACATCAGCATCATCATCACCAGCATCATCGTCATCATCAGCATCATCATCACCATCATCATATCATAATCCTCGTCATCGCCACCACCACCACCTCTCCTCCGACCCCCCCCCCCCTTTTCATCCTCCCCTTCCCTCCTTCTCCCCATCCGTTTCCTCCCTAGACCCCACCCTCCCTCCCTCCCTCCCTCCCTCCCTCTCGCACGGTCCTTGCTGACTTGAGCCAAATTCGGTTGGGCTGCAGAAATTGGGCGCCGTAACTCAATCAAGACGCGGACGATGCTTGCTGTTGTGCGAGGTCAACCACTCTGCCATGATTGGATGTGGCTTCTGTGCTAAAGGCTTTCCGCGCTGCAAGATTCAGAGCCGAAGTTGCAATTGAACGGCATGGTGCCAATGGCGTTGGATTGGCCGTCACATGCGCCAAATATGTCGTATCGCGTTGGCGGCTCTGGCCTGACGAGGAAGGGCCTGATGCCGAAGACCCAGACAAGACCAAACCATCCGAACTACCTTTAGAAGCTCCGAAAAACTTGAAACAAGCAAGCGTCATCAGCATCAGGGTGCTGATAGTTCGTGAGGGTGCGGGCCAAATGGCGACCCCCAAAACTCCACAAGATTTGCGGACACATCGTGAATGGAAGCTTGAGGTGGTTATCTGGTCTCCACCGATCGAAAGCACGTTGGATCGCCAAGGGAATGCGTGCAAAAGACAAATCCAACCTGTACGGGACGATTGACCTGTTAGGCAGAACCTGCGGGCGAGGGCGGGCGAGAGCCGTAGACGACGGCGTGCGATAATATTGCAAATGTGCGTGGCCAGGGCATGCCTTCCCGATACGGTCCTTGAACGCAGCCACGTGCGAATCGGCTGTGCGGCGGTACGTGCATATGCGTCGCGAAGTGGATGCAAAGCTTTTCGGCCATGATGCGTGTACGTGCGGCGGGCGAGCCGAAGAGTCACACAGCGGCCCCCATTCGGATGTGGGTTTCACATGCACCGCGTGCTCCACAACAGAATTGACACTTCTGTCACAAAACCACAAACCGAGAGCCAACATGGTCGTGCGAACAGGGTCGATGCAATCCTCAGGGGAGCTGCCCTGGGAGGCCCAGGGGGGAAGAAACAGGGGAGGAGGACGAAGCACGAACCACGAAAATAAAGAGGTCCGAACTCTAGAACACAGCTGCGCAAGAGAGTAAACATTCTCTGCACATGAGAATTCAACAATTACTACATCAACAAACTTTAACTACAACTACAACTGAAAGGGCCACTACAACTACAACTGCAATTAGAATTGCAGCAACATTAACATCAACAACAAGAACACCAAAACAGCAGCAACAACAACAGCAGCAACAACAAGAACAATAATAAAAACAAACCAAAAACAATAATGCTAAGACTGTTCGCTCTTATCTGCTCGAATGTCATTAAACGTGTATTTCCCGAACCCTCGACACCCGCCCTCTTCGTCTTCGATCGTACCCCTTTGGGAGGGTATAGTTTCTTCCCTGCAGGCTGGGCCCCGGCAAGCGGCGGGGCGGCTGCAGACCGTCGGCCTGGCCAGCGGCAGCGCTGATCGGCGGCAACCCGACCCCAAGAGAGACGGACAGGGGACCGACCACGACGACAAGGACGACGACGACGACGACGACGACGACGACGACGACGACGACGACGACGACGACGGCGACGGCGACGACGACGACGACGACGACGAGCGAAACCGAGAGCGAGAGAGAGAGAGAGACAGCGGGGCAAAGAACGGCAGGAAGGGGGCCACGAAGGGAGACAGCGGGGCCACGAAGGGCATGCGTATGGGGCCACGAAAGGCGCGAACGAGCGGGGGTTACGAAGGGCAGATAACGCGGGGCCACAGAAGGCAACGACGGGGCCACTGAGGGTAGCAACGGGGCCACGTAGGACAGCGAGGGTGCCACGACGGGCGACAGCAGGACCACGAAGTGCATGCGTATGGGGCCACGACGGGCGCGAACGAGCGGGGGCCACGAAGGGCATACGTAGAGTGGGCTGCAGAGGGCAAGGACGGGGCCACTGAGCCACGAAGGGCGACAGCAGGACCACAAAGCGCATGCATATGGGGCAACGACGGGCGCGAACGAGCGGGGGCCACGAAAGGCATACACATATGGGGCCACGACGGGCGCGAGGGGGCCGCGAAGGGCTGCAACGGGGCCACGAAGGGCAGCGAGGGGGCCACAAAGGGCTGCGAGGGGGCCACGAAGGCAGCGAGGGAGCCACGAAGGGCTGCAACGGGGCCACGAACACGAAGGGCAGCGAGGGAGCCACGAAGGGCTGCAACGGGTCCACGAAGGGCAGCGAGGGGGCCACGAAGGGCTGCAACGGGGCCACGACGGGCAGCGAAGGGGCCACGAAGGGCTGCAACGGGGCAACGAAGGGCAGCGAAGGGGCCACGAAGGGCTGCAACGGGGCCACGAAGGGCAGCGAGATCCCGATCCCTAAATAAGCCGTGAGGGACTCCTAAGCGTGAGCGCAGCTCCTGGGTGCTTGAGTGTCGTTTGCATAAATCGCAAGGAGTTACAACGCAAGAGCGCGATTCTTGAGTTAATTGCAAGCAAGTCTCCAGCGAGAGCGCGACTCCAGAGCGCCGAGAGAGCGATTCCTGAATAGATTGTAAGGAAGTCCCAAGCGAGAGCGCGATTCCTCAGTAAAACGCGAAGAGGTCTCAGGCGGGAGCGGGGGTCCTGGCAGATTGGTGAAGAAATTTCAAGCGGGAGCCGTTGTTTCTTGTAATCCGGGGGCCAACAACACAGTTTGAGCCTAGTGGCTTTCCCTCTTTTGTTCCCTACCTAGGCTCTGCCTAGAGGGTTCTTACTCGCTGGGCTTAAAGGGGCCGGGCAGTGGGCTTCGCCCCTGGCGGTTCCTCCGGTCCCCGCCCCACGGTTCCCCCTGTCCCCTGGGAGCTTTAGCTTTAGCTTTAGCTTTAGCCTTGGCTTAGCTTCAGCTTAGCTTTAGCTTAGCTTTAGCTTAGCTTCAGCTTAGATATAGCTTAGCTTTAGTTTAGATTTAGCTTAGCTTTAGCTTAGCTTTAGCTTAGCTTTAGCTTAGCTTTAGCTTAGCTTTAGCTTAGCTTTAGCTTAGCTTTAGCTTAGCTTTAGCTTAGCTTTAGCTTAGCTTTAGCTTTAGCTCAGATTTAGCTTAGTTTTAGCTTAGCTTTAGCTTAGCTTCAGTTTAGCTGTACCTTAGCTTTAGCTTAGATGTGGCTTAGCTGTAGATTAGTTGTACCTTAGTTTTAGCTTAGATTTAGCTTAGCTTTAGCTTAGCTTTAGCTCAGCTTTAGCTTAGCCTTAGCTTAGTCTCAGCCTACTTAGCTTTAGCCTAGCTTTAGCCTAGCTTTAGCCTAGCTTTAGCTTAGCTTTAGCTTAGCTTTAGCTTAGTGTTAGCTTAGTGTTAGCTCAGATTTAGCTTAGCTTTAGCTTAGCTTTAGCTTAGCTTTAGCTTAGCTTTACCGTTACTACTAATGCTGCTTCCCTAGGGGCTCCAACTCCTAGGTAGGGTCGCACTGGGATATGTTTTGTTTATGAGCGAGCCCCGGGGGAAACGCTTCAATTGAAAAAAACACAATGGCCACTGGAGGGGGATCAACAATAATTGTTCAATAATGAGAGTTCAATCACTTTGAGACTGCTCGTTCCGACCTGCTCGCGTGCCACTCAACACGTATATCCCGAACCCTCCATACCCACCCTCGTCGTCTTCGATCGTGCCCCCCTGGGGGTATATCTTCCTTACGGGCCACGTACATTTAACGCAACCCCTAAAACAGGGGAAGAGAAGACGGATAGGGGAGGAAGAAGGATGAAGCACTAAAGAGATTAACAGGACGCAAGGACCAGGGGCAGAAAACACGTGGCAGAACCAGACGGGCTGATCGGGCGGGTAGACGCTACAATAACGGGAGGGTCGGGAAGGGGGGCCAAAGCGGCCAAGTCGAGCAGGCGGGTTGCTGAAGCGTGAATTCTGCATGAACCGCGAAGAACTCCGCCGACCTCGTGGGGTTCATCGGCGCGTGAAATGATTCCCCCTCCCCAAACCCCTCGAAATGTCTGTTCGGGTTCCCCCTCTGGGCCCCCTCTTGGGGCTGTCTTGGGGCCCTCCTGGGCCATTTGGGGGGCTTCTTGGGCAGGAAGATCGATGGAGCACGAGAGAAATTAGCAGGAGGAAGGCTAGGAGCAGAAATCACGTGGTAGAACCAGACGGGCAGATCGGCCAGGCAGACCCTAGCGGGAGGGTTGCGAAGGCGGATCCAGGCGGCCAGGTCGAACAGGCGGGTTGCTGAACCTGCATGAATCCCGAGAAAGTCTCGAGCGATAGCGCGATTCGATTCCCAAGTAAATCGTGAGAAAGGCCAGAGCGAGAGACTGATTCCTGAGTGTCGAGGGCGCGGCGTGGACGTCCCACGCGAGAGCGCGATTCCTGCATAAATTGTGAGGAAGTCCGGCGCGATAGCGCGATTTTGCAATACAGTGTGACGACGTATCAGGCGGAAGCCGTTGTTATTGTAGTTCGGGACCCAACAATCCAGTTTGAGCAGGAAGACTTCCCCTGATAAAAAACAGGGTGCGAGCCTCGAGGGAGGGGCACTTCAATTTAAAAAAAAAATGTGGACCAGTGGGGGGGCAAGAATAATTGTTCCTCCAGACTGAGAATTTAGCAACAAAAAATGAAACAGAGAGACAGAGGAACAGAGAGATAGACAGAGAGAGGAAGGGGGGAGCAGGGGATAGAGAGAGAGAGAGGGAGAGAGAGCGACAGAGAGGCCGAGAGTAAAGAGAGAGAGAGAGAAGCGGGGATTGCACCGCTGTCCTCGACGATGTAGAACAGCACCATCTTGGTGTCCCCCTGCGTCATGATTTCCATCCCAGACTCGACCTGCGTACTCTGTAGGCTGGCGGCCGCCGATGCAGAGGCGGGAAGGGGAGGAGGAGGAGGAGGAGGAGGAGGAGGAGGAGGAGGAGGCGCAGGAGGAGGAGGGGGAGGAGGAGGAGTAGGAGGAGGAGGAGGAGGAGGAGGAGAAGGAGGAGGAGGGGGGCGAGGAGGAGGAGGAGGAGATGAGGGAGGGGGGAGGAGGAGCGGGGAGGCGCAGTAAAGAGAGGGAAAATCTACCCCAAAATGTCCGGCACTGCGGTCAGAAGTGAGCCGCGATGTGCACCCTGCTTACAGGAATGAACTTGGGGCTGAGCCCGATGACCGCGGACACCTAGACATTCCATTGCCAAAACAAGCTGGAGGGAGAGGAAAAGATAAAAAAGTACTGCTCGCGAGAGGAGGGGCAGGAGCAGAACGACCCCCGCGGGCAGCCACGAGAATGCCGTTGCCGAAACCAGTGGGAGGAAATGGGATGGGCACAGCAAAAAAACAGGCGGCGGAGAGGGCGGAGTAGGGCAGAACGACTCCGCTTGCTCACCACCCCAGGGGGAACGACGCCGCCGCCGCCGCCGCTGATGACGCCGCCGACGACGACGACGACGACGACGACGACGACGACGACGACGAAGACGCCGATGACGACGACGACGACGACGAAGACGCCGACGACGACGACGACCACGACGACGACGACGACGACGACGACGACGCCGGCGGGCAGGCCCGGCAGCGCCGGGAGGGCCGCGCAGACCCGTCGCGCCCTCGGCGGGCCGTGCGCGGCGGCCCGCGGAGGGAGGAGGAGCGGCCGCCGTCGGCCAGCAGCTCGGGCGAGGGCAGCTGTGCCCATCTTGGCGGCGCGCAGAGGGGGGTGGAGGGAGGGGGGAGGGCTTCTTAGAAGGAGGCTGCTTCTTAGAAGGCGCCATTCTTACATCCGTAGGTGAGGCCCGCGCCGGTCGGAAGAGTCACGTAGAGGGCAGGTTTCAATACATAGGATTTGTTTTAATATTGGATGTTTAAAACATGACTAATTCATGAATACATTGATGCATGAACTCCTCGGTGCTTGTCATACTAAATCCCTGCATTTTGAATACATGATCCGCACGCGGAGCACGTACTAAAGACGGCACTGTAGGAGCATGAGGCAGGAAGGCGCTGAAGGGTAGATTGGGCTTCCGCGCGACCCCAGAAGAAGACGAAAACGGTGAGGCCACTGGATCATGGTAGGGGGGCGTTTCAAGTAGAGGGGGATCTGGGACTCCAAAAATACCCACATTCAACGACCGATGGGTACACCGACACCGACTACGACGAAGCCAGGACGAGGATAAATTCGGGTGAGGATACATCGGGAATCTCTGAGATCCGGCGGCTCTGGAGGATAATGTCTCGGGCGCCGCGGGCCTCTCAGAGCGTTCCAGAACGCTCTGAGAGCGTTCAGGACCGCTCTGGAGCAGATTCGTTCTCGTCCTGGCCCCGCCCGACCGACGTAGGCCAGACCAACCATGGATCCGTGATCGCCGGCGGCGCGCACAGTGGGGTAGGGGAGGGGGGAAGGCTTCTCACCAGGAGGCTGCTGCTTAGACCACGCCCTCTACAAATAGGCCATCCCCCCTACACCCCTCTGCGCGTGGCTGAGATCGGTGCGCGCGCTGATGCTCAGGCCCAAGATGGGCCCAGCCAAGATCGGCGTCGGTGCAGCACTTGCAGTTGGTCCGAGCCAGCGGCACGGCCGCCCCAGGGCGTGGGCGCACGGGGTCCTGATGCGTGCAGACTCGCGTGGCGTCCCAGTCGACAGGCTCGCCGCTCCGCGTCCACCGCGCGGGCAGTCCCTGCTGATACACCCCCAGCGCCCCGCCCGGTAAGGCGACGGCAAGAAGGGGACAAAATCCCACCATCACTCTCCCTCTGGGCGTAGGTGGTCTAGCGCGTTTCCTCTTCCAACCCTCCCTCTTCCCCTTCGGGGAGGGATTCGTCACTCTTCCTTATTAATATACACCCCCTCCCCCACCTGGCCGGCGGCCATGCCAACCCAGAACCGTGCCGACCCCATGCGGCCACCACACACACACACACACACAAACACACACACACACACACACAGACACACACACACACACACACACACACACCGCCCCTGTCAAAAAAATACAAAACGCACTCTGCCTCCACATTTGGAGCATGCGCGGCCAGTCCGATGCGGCCCCCCCCCACCATCTCTGTCAAGAAACACTACAAAGTACACTGTGGGGCAAAGTCTTGAATCATGTTAGTGAGGCCCGCGAGCACTTTGTATTGTTGTGGCATGGACGGCGGGGGTGTCAGCATATTCCCTGCTATGCGCAGGACTACTATCCCTGACAAACAAATACGGAATGCACCTCGCGGCTAAATCTAGATCATGCGCGGCCACCCCACGATCACTGTCAAGTGATTTTTTACAGGGAGGGCGGGGGTGGTGGCGCGTGGCCTGCTGTGCGCAGGCCCACCAGACACAATGATGGGCATTAGTTTTCGACAAGGATGGTGAGGGCCGAGATGTTTCCCGATGTGCTGTCACGTGCGCAGGCGCACCTGACGCACTCTGCACGTGCCCCGAACTTAGCGCACCTGGCGCGGCTGGAGAGTGCGGTACACCTGGTACACTCGGAGCACGTGGCGCATCTGGCGCACCAGGCGTGCCTGGCACGCTCGGGCCCCAGGGGTGCCTGGCGCGGGTGGCGCCCCTGGCACGCGTGGCGCACCTCGCCCAAGCGTCGCGCACCTGGGGTCGGCTTTGGTTGACAGTAGCTGCACATCCAAAGACGACCGCTGAACATGCTCAGGCTCGGGTGTTACTTATGTGATGGCAGGGCGGGTGGTAGTGAGCTAGACGGCTTGCGGGCGGGTGGGTAGATTGACCCCTCCCCCTTACCCCCTCCCCTGGACCTGGAGGGGTGGGGTCGCGGGTCGTTGGAGCGTCCAAGATGACCCAAGATGGCTCTCGGAGGGCCTCAGAGAGCTCAAGATGACTTCCAAGATGGCCCAAGATAGCCAAAGATGGATCATTATGGCTCCCAAGACGCTCCAACAGGCCCCAAGACAACTCCGACAGCTCCGAGTGGCCACGGAGCCTCCCCGGGAGGCCGCCAAGAGGCCACAATCACTCAAAAAATTAGGAGAATTGATGAATGGTGCCTTTCTCGCCGTTTCACTTCCAATGGCCTTCCGAGGCCTCAAGGCAGCTCCAGTGCCCATGAGGGCCCCTAGAGAGGCCCAAGAGAGCCCCAAGACGGCCCCAAGTGCGCCCAACAGCGCTCCAAGAGCGCCCCAAGAGGGGCCCAAGAGGCGATTGCTGGGGCTCCCGAGGGGGGGGGGGGAACGTAACTAGAGCTCCAAGTTTTTTTAGATCGGAGGCCCCAAGAGGCGCCCAAGAGGCCTCCAAGAGGCTCCCAAGAGACCCCAAAGAGGCCCCAAGAGGCTCCCCCAGGCACCCAAGACGCTCCAAGGGGCCCCCGGGACCGCCAAGAGGCCCCCAAGACGCTCCAAGAGGCCTCCAAAAACATTCCAACAGACATCCGAGGGGACTGTGACGGGCATTCAAGAGGCCTCTGGCCCTTCTGCTCGCTCTTCTTCTCCTCCTCCTTCTCCTTCTTCTCCTCCTCCTCCTCCTCCTCCTCCTCCTCCTCCTCCTCCTCCTCCTCCTCCTCCTCCTCCTCCGCCTCCCTCCTCCCTACTCCCTCCTCCATCCTCCTCCTCCTCCCTCCTCCCTCCTCCTCCTCCTCCTCCCTCCTCCTCCTCCTCCTCCTCCTCCTCCTCCTCCTCCTCCTCCTCCTCCTCCTCCTCCTCCTCCTCCTCCTCCGCTCCTTTTCCTTAAAGGTAACTCCTCCTTGTCGAACCCCGCGGCCAGTGTTTAGGGCGGGCCGGGCGTGTCGCCTGAGAAACTTAAAAGTGACAACTGTTTCACAGATGGAAGGCGTGTGGTTTTCAACATGTGGCTCTCGCCTTAGCGCCGCGCACATTCGTTGTAAAAAAAACGAAAGAGTTTCACGGGTTGTGGGCGGGTCGTTCTCACATTCTGGCTCTCGCCTGAGCGTCGCGCACATTCGTTGTAAAAGTTTGCAAGAGCTTCACGGATTGAGGGCGGGTAGTTTTCAAAATGTGGCTCTCGCCTTAGCGCCGCGCACATTCGTTTTTTTTAATATTCGCAAAAGCTTTACGGATCGAGAGCGTTTCCTCAAACAAAATGGCTCTCGCCTTAGCGCCGCGCACACTCGTTTTCAAAATTTGCAAGAGTTTCACGGATTGAGGGCGGGTCGTTTTCAAAATGTGGTTCTCGCCTTAGCGCCGCGCACATTCGCTTACAAAATGTGTTGGGGTTTCACGGGTTGAGGGCGGGTCGTTATCAAAATGTGGCTCTCGCCTTAGCGCCGCGCAAATTCGTTTTAACCATTTGCAAGAATTTCACGGATTCCCATGGTCAACGTACCAGAAATTGTGTTTTGGAAAGACTAAGGGTTATACGGGTGCAACAGTTATGTTGGTTCACCAAAAATGGCGTTATGGTGCAGTCAGGTTGATACGTGGCGTTGAAATCCCGAGAACAATATTTTGGCATGCATGCTTCAGGATCTTCAAACGGTTGTCTTTCAACGAGGGAGTCCTCTCAATGGAAATAAACCGTTGTAGGGCCGATGAAGAGGGATGGTTAATTCCAACATCGCTGATGACCCTTGGGTTTACACTGGTCGTCCTCCTCCTCCTCCTCCTCGTCTTCCTCCTCCACCTTCTCCCCCCCCCGTCTCCTCTTCCTCCTCCTCATCATCATCTTCATCATCATCAGCATCATCATCAGCATCATCAGCATCATCATCATCAGCATCATCATCATCATCATCACCATCATCAGCTTCATCATCGTCAGCATCATCATCAGCATCATCATCGCAAACATCATCCTCACCATCATCATCATCTTCATCATCACCATCACCATCATCATCATCACCATCATCACCATCACCATCACCATCAACATCATCATCGTCATCATCATGATCTTTCTCGTGCTCATCCCTGTCATCCTCCTCCTCATCTTCATCATCACCAGCATCCGCATCATCATCATCATCCTCATCCTCATCCTCATCATCCTCAGCATCATCAGCATCATCATCAATATCAACATCAACAACCATCATCAACATCATCATCATCTTTCTCCTGCTCATCCCTGCCATCCTCCTCCTTCTCCTCTTCTGCCTCATCATCCTCCTCTTCCTCCTCATCCTCTTCCTATTCCTCCGCCATTCTCTCCCCTGAAAGTTGGTTTTGGATGGGCTGGTGGGGATGCGCCAAGCGTCAAGAATATCGGTACAGAATCGAGGCAGCATCGATCTGACATCTAGATAATATCATAGCAATACCCTGTAGCATCACGGTACCGTCCAGATAACATTCGGACGGCAGTCAGATAGCTAGCATCCCGATCATCCACCGCGCTTGCAGCGACTAATGTGTGGACCTTTCCTTTTCTCGTTATTTCGATTGCTGCGAAGCAATAATTGAGGCCCCGACGCGTCGAACCCAACCCCCGTTCATGTGTTCCACCAAGTTCCCATTCCCTGCACCTTTGCCTTCCGACTCAAAAAACAACAAAACAATGAAGACCAAGCATAAAAACGTTTTGCCCTCCCCCCCCCCAAAAAAAAATAAAAAAAGGCTGGGTAGGCGAGGGTCCCGTGCCCCCCCTCCCCGCGCTCACCCCCCCTTGGCCCCGCGGGCGCTGCCCTTGCGCCCGCCCGAGCGCGGTGGCGGAATCGCGTGGCAGCGCAACTGGATAGCATCAAGATGGCCTCGAGACAACATCGATCCAGCATCGAAACAGCTCCCAGATATCATCCAGAGTAGCGTCAATACGCTCAAATGCTCTCCGCGGGATAGCTGCTATCCGCGGGATAGGGTTGCGCGTCGCCTACGCAGAGGGTCCAGAACCTGTTCTGGCGACCGCCCAAGTGCCCTCGATAGCTCGAGGGGTGTCCTGGCCGGGAAGGCGTCGGCAACGGCGACGACGCCGGCGGCGACGACCTCGCTCTCCCACCTCGAGACCAGCCACCGCACCCCTCTTGGAGCGCGTTCCGACAAAGACTTCGGGGCCGAGCCAGCCGTGACTGAGCGAGCAGAGACGCGTGTACATGTGGGCCCTCCGCGGTCCCGCGTGCACGAAGAATACGCACAAACGCAGGCCAGCGGAAGCCGACCGCGCACATGTACACATGTCATTGGCCTCGGAGTGACGGCGGCGACGGCGGCGGCGGCGAGGGCGAGGACGAGGGCGGCGGTGGGCGGCAGCGGCGGCGGCGACGGTGGGCAGCGGCGGGCGGCAGCGGGCGGCAGCGGGCGGCAGCGGCAACGGCAGCGGTAACGGCGAGGGCGAGGGCGAGGGCGAGGGCGGCCGCGCTCGCAACAGAGGGTGTGCGCGTGCGCGCGCCTCGAGCGGCCGCGCGCTCTCCACCACGGCGTCGACGTCGGCCTCGACAGCGGGCCAGGCTCCTCCTCCTCCGCCTCCTCCTCCTCCTCCTCCGCCTCCCTCCTCCTCCTGCTCCTCCTCCTCCTCCTCGGGAAGGGGCGGCCAGGCTCAGGGGGGTGCGCCACGGCCGCCGAGCGGCGGGGGGTCCACGGCGGCAAGGGCCGCGGCCGCCCGTGCTGCGGCGGCGCGGCCGCCATCGTCGCCGCAGCGGCTGCCGCAGCGGCTGCCGCAGCGCCGCGGCTTCGCGGAAGCAGCGGCGAGGACGGCGGCGGCGACCGCGGCGGCGACGACGACGGCGACGAGGTGGAGGGAGAGGATGGCGAGGACGACAAGAACGCAGACGACAACAACAACGACGACGACGACGAGCAGAGAAGAGAAGAGCGGAGAAGTGAAGGGGAGAGAAGGGGGGAGGGGATGGTCAGGGGGAGGGGGAAAGGGGGAAGTGGAGGAGGAGGAGGAGAAGAAAAAGGAGGAGGAGAGGGGAGGGGAGGGGAGGAGGGGAGAAGGAGAGTGAGAGGGAGGTGGAGGGGGAGGGGGAGGGGAAGGGGGCGGAAGGAGGGGGAGGAAGCACGCGGGTAATTTTACGGCTAGATGGGCTTCTTAGAATCGCACGGGGCTTCTTACGATCAGCGATGCATCTCGTTAGAGACCGACTTGCAACAAAGGTGACACCTCAACTTAAAAGCATGTCGCGCACCAACACGCGGGCACCCCAACTGGGGTGTTCAAGCAGATGGAGGAAGGTATCAGGAGAGGAGGGGACCGCCCCCCAAAGGCCGCTGGGGCAATGTATTACTTCCTTCTGTAGATCAAGAACCAGCCTCGCACTTACCAATGCGGACTTGTTCACCTGGGACGATTGCTGTGCATGGCGAAAAACCGTCTATCTAGTACAACTGTCTAGACTTGTTATCAATGATGACTTCCTGAGCGTAGAAGCTGATCAGGACCCCGAACCTCTAGATGACGGGCTGTCTCGCGAGCTCCTGAGCGTTCTTGGGGTGTGCCGCGTGTCCTCGTATGGTCACGAAGGACCGTCCCTTCGCTCTCTTGCGCTGTCTTGGGCAACATTGAGCTCGACCGAATGCCAATATCGTTGAAAACCAAATGTTGGGGTACGATTGTAGCAGATTCGCCTCTTCGGTCCTGAGGGCATCCATGAAGGCATACGAGTGTCCCGAGACCGCCCGAAGATTGCCCCTAAGGCTCCCAGGAAGGGTCCTGCAGGCCCCAGGGAAGGTCACAATAGGAGCCCAAAAAGCGCGTTGTGGACCTAAAGGTGACCCACGATGGCCCCAAGAGGGCCCCAAGAGGGCCACAAGGGCTGAAGATGGCTTTCAGACGACCAAAGAGGTCCCCAAGACAGCTCAAGAGGGCGCAAAGAGGACCCCAAGAAGCCCCCAGGAGCCCCCCCAGAGGCTCCCATGAAGCCTGGGGAAGCCCCAATGAGATCCTTAGAGGCCTTCAAGAAGCCCCCGAGATGCGTTCCGGGATGCCCAAAGGGAACCTCGAAGAAGCCCCTGGTCCACGACCGAAGCATAGGAATTCAGAATCCTCGTGGCTCGATGGAGGTTATGACGACGACCTTGCTTCGACGCGGACGACGACAACTTTCATGAGGCAGCAGTGAGGATGATGAAGCAGCGATGAGAGAGGAAGGGGCGTGAGGAAAGGCAGGAAGGTGCGGCCAGCGCCAGCACAACGGAAATTGAGCATCCACGGCGCTGGGCTGTCAGTTGGGGACGACGCAAAACTCGCTGGTTGCTGTGGACCGGCATCGAATGCCAGAAGCGCAGTGGGCCTCTTCTGGCATTGCCGTCGTTACCATCGCAGCTGCCTCCCCCTTTCGCCGCACCCCCGCACTATTATCGC